AACGTCTTCAGTTTGCAGCGCACATTCGCAGATAGCTTAAATAATTAATGCGCTCGCTGCGAAATATGTGCACAAGTTGCACATATAAATTTCTCTATTTTGAGTGCCAGAAAGCGAGAAAAAAAGGCTGCAACAATTCGCATGGCACGTGATGTTGCTTGGGTGGCAGCAGGCAGCAGTCGGCATAAATTTTGTGGCACAAAACTTCACCAGCTGCGAATTGTTCGCACATTGACCAGAGAGGCCCAGAAGTCGAGCCAAGAAGAACTCGGAGACTGACAACTGCCACCATGTTGCACGTTAATCGCTCGGGGCTGCCTTTTGTCGCTGCAAAGTCTCCGTTGAGGTTTTGCGGTTTGCTTCGTCTACGGTTTTTTGTTGAAGCGGACGCATATTTGATTTTATAACTTCGGACAACGACGCACATAAAACGAGGTCATCAATGAATGCCGCACCGGCAAAGGATTCAATTTGATTGGATTGTGTGTGGGGCTGTGTGTGTGGGTGTGTGTGTGTGGCAAGTGGCGTGGTATGATTTAGCAGACAAACCCAAACCAAACTCTTCACTCGACTCGACTCGATTCGACTCGACGCTCTATCGGATTGGGAATCACGTAATGGTTAAGGTTAACGGATGTGTTGCCTTCTCCTTACTGTGCATGTGTGTGTGTGTGTATGTTTTTTGTGCCCATTGAGCTGCATTTTAAATGCTCCCGAATGCATAAAAATTCCAATGGCATTGCCTGCTAGCTGAATGAAATCGAAACTTATTAAATATTTAGCTGATTCCTGCTGCCAGCCAACCAACCAACCAACCAACCAACCAACCTGCCAGCCAGCCAGCCAGCCAGTCAGTTAGCCAGCAAAAAATGAGTTTACATTTCTTGTTTGACTTTATGATAATGCGCGTCGCAACTCACGCAGAAAACGCTCGCAAAACGCCTGCGAAACGCCAGTGAAACGCGTCGACTGCATAACATTTTGTTGTACAACTTTTCAGTTCTGTGAAGCGCCTGTTTGGCCAGTTTATGAAGAGAAAAAAAAACAAAAAGAGAGACACCTGTGCCAACAGCTCCTGCCAAAGCGGACTGACCTTTTGTTTGGGCATTGCATCAGCCATGGCGCCTCATCAATTTTGCATGCCCGGGGACACTGTGCAGCTGGCTGAGCTGGTGACGGATACAGCTACGGATCTGAGCATATGAAACAATCAACACACATTTAAACGATTTTATTAATTTATTCAACGCATTGCGAGCGCTTCGCTTAAATGCTTTAATTGAAGCTTAATGATTTGTGTAAACGTAAACCTGTTTGGGTTTTTTTTTTTTTTAAAGCGAAGCCAATGGGCGTGTTCAAAGAAAAATATTGGAAATTTCGATTGCTTACATTATTATGAGCAAAGGGAAATAATTTAATTGGTAAATTTATAAACAAAAATATGCAAAGGAAAAAGGAAAATTTAAGAAGACGATTTCTTTTTGTTTCATGACAAAGCATTTTTAAATTAAATTATAATCGTTACGGTCCCTGTTTTTAATACATCATTTAAAAATCTATATTATCTAAATATATGTAATTTAGTCACAATAGATCTAAATTAACTTATCCATAGAGCAACGAGAGTTGTATAAACTCTCAGACCGAACTTTGTCTATTAATATTATCAAACAGATTTCATTTCCTCGCTCTCCCTCTCTCTCTCTCCCTCTCCCTCTTCAAATATCGCACAACTTTCTCCCTGCATTACAATTAACATTGATCAACGGCATAAATAAGGACACGCGGCTTTATTTTTGTAACATTTATTGCCGTAAATCGCATAAATTAGCAGGATATGCAGCAGCACCCACAGCTCAACTGCCAACAATTTTACACAATCCCCCCAATCACCTGTGCGTGCTGAGTCAGTGAGAGCTGAGCAGACAGCCAAACACAGAAAGAGAGGCAGGGAGAGAGAGAGAGAGAGAGAGAGAGAGAGAGAGGCATACACAGATACATGTGAGATGCTATAAAATTTTCACATATTACTAGAAATTCATGGAAAATAATGCAATAAAAATTCACAGCCGAGCGTCGACTGCGACGCGGTTACAACTGGTTGTTCACTGTGTCTTAAAGGCCGTAATCCCCACACACAGAAACACATGAAGTGCCCAGCTGTTTGTGTGTGTGTGTTGTTGGCTGCTTGACATTTGCTTTCCTTTTAATGCGCTTACAAAGAAAGTATATCGCATTTGACATGAAATGTGTAACGCAGGTTTAGCTCTTTTGGGAAAAGGAAATATATATGTATGTAGTATACTTATATAATATAATATGAATATTATAATATTATACTACAATATAATTCTCAATCAATATAAATACATCCTTGTTATATTTCTATATTATACCTAAACAATCATGTTGAGTTTATATTTCTTCAATTAAGGTCAGATATTAAACTTCTTTGTAGAACCCTAGGTTCAACTAAAATTTCTTGAAAACTCTATGACTCTATCTATAATTTCTAAGTGATTTAGTTGTGCAGAAATCCTATTATATTATATTATGATATCTAGCTATAAATAAAATATATATAATATCAGAAAAGTTTACATCTATATTGATATCATATTATGATATCATCTACTTATCATATTTGTTTGATATTTAACTTTGTTAAAATATTTAACTATAATCAACTGCCATTTACTTTGCCAATCTTAAAATAATATTAACCTTGCCATCAGCTAGAGCATTCACCTGTCGGTCATGCTGTGATTTAGCCATTGGTGCGCTGTACTTTTTTTTGCCAGACAAATTTTGTACGGTTTTTTATTTCATCAAGAGATTTGCCGCACTTGAGCAGAGGCGAAGCGAAAGCCACAGTGGGAGGAGGAGGAGGAGGAGGACGAGGACGACACTTTGGTTACGCTCCAACTCCTTGGCGCACTTGAGGTAGCACTTTTTCGGTTGGTTGGATTAGTCCGCGGGCAGCGCCAATCCGCATGCCATCATCATGAGCCGGCACAACTTGTGATTCCAAGATAACAGAGAATGTAAATAAAACAAGCAAACCAACAAGGCTGAAACATGTAAAAAATGTAAAAATGTTTGCAAAATGCCCAGGAGATGCACATAAAATATTTAACAGACGCCGCAGAAAAACAACAGCAGCGGGAAGGAAGTGGAGGAAGGGAAGGAAGAAAGGGAAGTGGGAGGGGAGGCAATAGAAGTTGTAGCGAACTTTTGTCAACTCCCCGCCGTGTGGGTGTCATGCGTCGTCTTGTTAATCATTTGTTGTGCCTGTTGCAATAATCTGTTAGAGCCGCCACGCCCACTTTGGCTGGCTGCTGTTGCAGCTCTTTGGCTCATTAAAAAATGATCGTCAACTGGGGATATGCGCGAGATGAGAGAAATGGGAGAGAGTGAGGGTGAGAGGGGCGTGTCTGGGGTAACAAGTTCTTAACAACAGCCAAAAGTCGCAAAGTTTTTCATAAAAAATAGAGAAAGAAAAAAAAATACCAAACAACAACAGCAATCCTGAAAGTTTCCTTCCGCATGCCCAAGTGACACATTTCCAATTGCAAGTTCTTAACCCGAGGGGCATACTCAGACTGGGTCTGATGCTGTTTTAGCTGTTTATTATTGACTTACGCGACGTACAAAATCAAAGTTTAATTTCTTGGCAATGATAACATAGAAATCGCTTTACTATATAGTATATTTAGAGAGATATTATAGAGAAGATTAAGGTAAATTTATTGAATGGAAATTATTAATATAGATAGTGATAATTAACTCACTTTTATTTTTATTTATTTATTTATTATTATTATTTATAATACTGTTCTAAGTGGCGTTAAAAAAATATATATATCAAGGTCCTCAACTCTTTCTTATCAACATCATGTTACTTTACCTTTCGCTTTATCTCTATATGAATACATCATGCCCATATGATATTTCTTTTTTTTTTTTTTTTTTTTTTTTCAAGTGAATACATAAAATTTACTTCTGTTTTTTATCAATGCTAAATGGGCTATTCAAAACATTTTTAATATATAAATTATTAATTTCAAGAGCAGCTCTATTAGCATAATTTGAAGACAGAAACTATCAATACTTTCAAACTGTGATTCTTTTATATAGCTCAAAATGTTTCAATGAAATCTCTCATATATATTTATAATATCTATGTGCTTTAAATTCTCACCATCAGCCAAATTTCATATCCATCTATTCCCATTTGACATATTTTTTTAATGTTCTCCTTTAAGAGCTCTTTCGTATTGCTCCACCCACTCGTAAAGCACATAATAAGCATCAAATTATACGCCTCTCCTATTGCAACTGTGCCACATCATACATCATGCTCAAGTTCCATATATGTATATGGACAACACCTAGAGAGAGTGTGAGTGAGACAGCTAGATAGAGAGGTGGGGTGGTTTCCATGCATACCTGAACAGCTGATTATGATAAGCATCGTATATTATCTTAGCTCTCTAGCAGCCCTCGGCAGACTCTGATGTGTGCGTTACGAATTAAAGTAATTCGCTTAACTTAAGCATAGCTGTAAACCAGGCCATCAAACAAATAATTTCCCGTATGTTTGTCGCTTTTTACAGACCCCCCCCCAGCACCACAATACTCAAGCACCCGCCTAACAAAAACCAAGCGGACATAAAAAATGATGTATTGTTTTAAAATGTGTTTTTTGCTTTTGTTGTTGTTTTTTTTTTTTTATGTGGCATGCCTCTTGATTATGTGCGAAGTGCAGCCAGTTGACAGTGGCTGTGTGTGTATGTGTGTGATAAATGTGCTGTGTGTGTGTGTGTGTATGTGTACTCCCCTGTCGCAACACCTTTACTACAGGAAGCAGAAAATAAAAAACGCAAACAAGTTGCACTTGAAACTTTGCGGCTAACAAGCGTCTAACAATTTGCCTGCGACTCTGCATCAGCTCACACTCAACTTCTCTGTTTGCTTCTCTCTCTCTCTCTCTCTTGCAGCTTTGACCGCGACCAGCCCTTCACATTCCAATTGGGCGCCGGACAGGTGAGTTAAACGTTTCAACTCGAATGCCACAACAAAATTTGTGGAGAATTTTGGCGAGAGTTCACACATTAAATATATTATTTTCATGCACAGGTGATTAAGGGCTGGGACCAGGGTCTGCTCGATATGTGTGTCGGTAAGTAGAACTGAATATAACCCATATAGTACCGTTACATATATAATATATATATATTGTCTTATCTATTGATTAGGCGAGAAACGTAAGCTGACAATTCCCCCAGAGCTGGGCTATGGCGATGCGGGTGCCGGCAATGTGATCCCACCGAAGGCTACACTGGTCTTTGACGTGGAGCTGATCAACATTGGCAATGCCCCGCCCACCACGAATGTGTTCAAGGAGATCGATGAGAACGCCGACAAGCAGCTGAGCCGCGAAGAGGTAATCGTCTATGTATGGATCGCACTTTTATCATTTTGTAATTGTTCTACACTCTATATGTGATATATCCGTGGGTCTCGGTTCGTTACTAACCTCATTCTTCATAATGCTCTAATTGCTATGCCCTGTAATTGCTATAATATGTCGGTTGGTTTGTTTCGTTTGTCTGTTTAGGTCAGCGAATATCTGAAGAAACAGATGACCGCTGTGGAGGGTCAGGACTCTGATGAGCTGAAGAATATGCTGCAGGAGAACGATAAACTGGTCGAGGAGATCTTCCAGCATGAGGATAAGGACAAGAATGGTTTCATCTCGCACGACGAGTTCTCGGGTCCCAAGCATGATGAGCTGTAAGTCTGCGGCTAGGACAAGTGCTTAAGTTATAATCTATCTATAACTATCTATGTATAAATACCAATACCAATACAACAACAACAACAACAGCGACACCAACAGCAATATCAACTAAAGCAACACGCGACACATGAACATGAGACAACATCAACCACAACAACATATTCCAAAAAAACATAAACAAAAACAATGAAAGAACGAGTGGACTGACGCCCCTTCAATTACCCCCTCAAATGCTGGGGCGCTTTTAGTGTTTTTTGCCCGCCCTTCAAGAGAAAAACAAAACAAAACTATATGAAATTATTTTTGTTGGCAACATCATTCATATTTGTATATACTACTACACCATATATATACATATATATATATACATATAGACATATAGTATATGCATAAATATAGAATGTTAAGCGATTTATTGTAACAACTCTTCCACTTCGATTCTGTGCTCCGGTTTGGTTTCCTCTCCTCACACATACACACACACACGCAACAACAACTGGACGAATGCTCAATGCCCTTCTAGACGGTAGTTTAAGCTAACTGAAGGGCCGAATTGGCGTTGAATGATTTTTATATACATTTATAGGTTGTTATATTCAAGTTTGTAACTTATTTGTGTAACGTTGTGTCTGCCAATTAAACATTTTTTTACAAATTGTGCGTAAAAGTGGAATATTAAATTAAATAAACAATTATCACAATTATTTAATAATGCAAATTGTGTTTTCTTATGGGAATTGAGGTTTGTGGATTTTCTTTTTTTTTTTTTTTTTAAATATTAAATTTTCAATTTGTGACTAATTTCTTGTATCTCAAACAAAAAATCTTAAAATTTCTAACAATTTCGTTTAACAATTTTTAATATATAACAAAATAAAAGAAAACACCAATTGATTTTAACAGTTATATAGTCATTATTTATATTCAAATCGAAAATATACAGGGATATAATAAAGAGAACATCATATACAAATATTATTATTATCTTTTCTAGATGTTATCCATTTATCGTAAAGAAAGTTGATGTTTTAGGCTATTTTTCTTTTAAAAAGTTGCGAAAGAAAAGACTTGTTTAGAATATGAAAAGGCTGCCAAATGCCAACACTGAATTCTTGTCTTCGTTTTGTTTATCAAACATTGAAAATTACAAAAATATTTGCATCGGCTTATGAAGGTACACAGAAACAGAGGCGAGATAAAAACAAACAAAACACCGATAGTATACATATAGAAAGATTGTATATCATGTACTAATTATATACAGTAATTGCGCCGTCGCATTGCAGCCAAAAGGAGGAGAGTCCGTTTACGTTGTACGATTAACTGGATGGGGGGGTGGGGCGGGCAACACACTTGATCGCTTTATAGGATTACGTAGCTAGGCATGGTTAGAAAGTATTGTATTGTTGTATTGAGTTCGATGTCCTTTGAGGGAGGAGGAGGAAGAGGGATTTATTGGGAGAGGCAGAACAGCAATTGCACTACAGCTCTTAGGCGTTTAGTATATAGAAAACTAGCTCCAATATAATAGGATCCTGAATGCCAGACGATTCGCCATGCAGTGTGGCTATCAGATGATTATCGAGCGCATTCATATAAAGCGGCGGCAACTTCGAACCACGTGCGCCCGCCTCATAGCAGACCTACCAAAAAAAAAAAAAAAGATACATAAATAATTAACACCTTAGAAAGTGGGTTGCTTACGTTCTCCTGATCGAGTGTGGCTCGCAGTGCGAGCTTATTAATGCCCGCTGCGGCGAGTAGATCGAGGAATGGTAGCAGCGCCATCGAAGCACTTCGTGCCAGCTGCTCGGCAATGCGTGTGATGTCCGCATAGTTGCCACCGTTTGTGGCATACCAATCCTCACACTGTAAAATGGAAATTCATTAATATTCAATATATATATAATGCTGAATTTAGTTGAGTTACTTTGATTATAAAAATATCGCTCAAGCGAATTGCATAATTGGTATTGGAATAGTTGAAGCTGGCATGCACACGCATATTGGCCACTCCATCCATGGGCTTCTCATCAATGGGCGACTTGACGCTAGAATATATGGTAAGTTTAGGAATTAGTATAGTGGCTAATTAACAGTTAGTTCACAATCTTACCCCACGTTGATTTCGCGATCATTGTCCACCCACTTGATGCTGACTATTTCACTCTGCTCATCGGTGGCCCCAATGGGGCCACACACGATGTCGATGTCGGTTTGATTGCGCAGCGCCTGACGCACCTCCTCCATTTTGGCGGGCATTATCTGAACCATCAGGCCGTCCTCGACAATGCTGCACTTGCCGGAGAGTCCGCTGCTGCTCTTGAGCGCCTCGTTCAGCACAAAGAAACTGGCGCCCGTCACCTTCCGCGGCTGGCCTTGTATATTGATTGCCTGCGTGGAGTAGGCGTACATCTCGGAGCGATCGTCGTTGATGTTCTGCATGCAGACCAAATGGCCGTCGGCCACTTTGGAGAAGTTGCCGGCGAATGCAAGAATGTGATCGGTGGAATTGTTGATCGCCTTGATGACATCGTTCTGCCTGTAGCGCGGTATGATCACAGTCGTCTGCCGATCCTCCATGTGGATGTAGAGTCCGCGTATGGTCGGCAGCGAGTACGTATAGTTGCGAAAATCCACCAGAAAATTGATAATCGTCTGCGCTATCTCGCCGTAGACCGACTCACGATTCCGCACCGAGATCAGTGGACAGGGATAATAGCGATACTGAGCGCCCAGGCGCAAGATGAGACGCAACGGCAGGACCTTGGCCCACGGCACCTCGTGCCGATGGATGAGCACGGCCACCAGATACGGACTGTCCGGCACAATGACGCCCTGCAGGCACTGGTACGTCGGCCGGATGTAGATGAAGCCGCCGTGCTCGCGCGAACCCAAAAAGTTGGCACTACGCGGACTGCTGAAGGCCAGCTCCTGTGTGCTGGAGCGCGCCTGCTCCGCCTCCACGTAGATCTCGTACAGATGCTGGAATATATCACGCGGCACCGTCGGCCCGCTATTGGCAGCCGCCGGCGGTGGCTTAATTTCCAGCAGGATAATCAACTCATCGTTGCCCACATGATGCAGACCCGAGGTGGTAAAGTTTAGCACCCAGCGATTCATGCAGCAGCTCACTGAGAGAATGGACAAGGATTTTAGGAGTAGGCTACGTATGCTTAGGCTGGATTACTCACTGTTGACCACCTTGACCAGCACATAGAAATTGTTCTTCACAATGAACTTGAGCGTCTCGCGCTGCAAACGCTCCAGAAGATCCGCATCGTTGCGCACCTCCTTGTATTCCACATCACAGATGCTGCTGCTGCCGTTGCTGCTGATGCAGATGGGCGGCAGTGCGTTCTCCTCGTAGGGTATGAAACAGCCCTGGGCATCGCTGGGCGGCAGCTTGCGTGAACGCTGCGGCTCGACCTTGCGACGCGGCGAGGTTTGCGCTGTATTGCGACCAGCTGAAAGAGCGAAAGAAAGAGATAGAGAGAGAGAGAGAGTTGAAGCTGCTCCAAATTGCATCCTCTCCACTTACCGCTTGAGTTTTGGCTGCCCCCGGCGGCCGCTGTGAGCGTTGCCGCCGCCGCACTGGGCGGTATGGAGCCGCGGAATAGCTGCGCCACCAGACCCATGGTGGAGCTATTGTCAATACTGCTGCCGCTGCCGGCGCCGCTGCTGCCACTGGCTGCGCCAGGTGTGGGCGGCTTTTGATTGGCGCTGGCTGCTGCGCCGGCGCCGCTGTTGCTGCGCTGCAGGCCGCGACGCGCATGCTTGGCCTCGCCCCACTGCTGCTCCATGGTGCTGGCCAGCTCGCTGCCCGGCGCAATGCCATCGCTGAACATGACGCTCTTGCGCTTGCGCCCCTTCTTGCCATCCGAACTGGAGGAATTCGAGGAGCTGCCATCCATTTTCTTCAGCACGCCCACGGGCACAATGACGCTGGGCGGCGGAGCACCCTCGGCGGCCACCTGACGATGCGGCGGTATCGTCGAGCAATACTCCATGGGATTATTGGGATTGGGCGAGCGCATGGGCGTGGGCGGCAGCGCCGAGGGCGGTGCACCCGCATAGGCATCCGAGACGCCGCCATTGGCCTGCCGCTCGGTGAGGATCATGAAGCATTGCACGCAGACCCGCGACTCCGGCTCATTGGCGAACTGCAGGTGAAAGCGCTGCGAGCAGCAGACGGAGCAGAGCACCTTGCCGCAGGCACGACAATGATGCCGCCGCTTGATCATCGTGAACTTCTGCTGGCACTGCATGCACTGGCCGGCCATATTGTCGGGCACCCAGATGGGCGGCACCTTGCCCAGATTGGCATGGGGATCACTGTAGCCCACGGCCTCATAGATGGGACTATCGTCGTCCTCTTCACCCTCTGCAACTACAGCTGCGGCTCCTCCTGCATCCTCGGACTGCGACTGTGACGGCGCTTGATCAGCTGGCGGCGGAGTTTGTCCCGCACTCGCCTGCTGACCTCCATTCAGATCTAAGGTTTGTGGACGTTGTGGTCGTTGCTCCTGAGTATCGAGCGCATCTGTGGCTACGCTATCCTCTTCCTCGTCTTCCTCCAGTTTCCGTCCAGACAGCGAATCCGTTTCGCTCGCTGTGCTGCTGAAGGATGAGGCCTCGGCCTCGGCCTCGGCCTCCACCTCAACCTCAACGTCCTCGGCTGCTGCCGACACGACTGGAGCTGCCTCGGTGGCGCGCAGCTCGGCGAACTCCACTGTGGATGCCTGTGAGAAGTTGTCCACATTCATTTGATCCGCCGAGTTGGTCTCCTGTTCGGAGAGTATGCGCACCGATTCCTCCTCCGTGGCTGGCGATATGGAGGCGCTTTCATCGCCATCATCGCCCATCATGCCGTGTGGCTGGCGCAGGCAGGAGTCTGAAGAGGATGTGGAGGCAGCAGCTGCCTCTGTCTCTTCCTCAATGTCCGCTTCTACCTCCTGCAGCATGCTATCCAGCTCCGTGTCTGAGATCTCGTCCATGGTGGAGCAGAAGGTCAGTGGTTGACTACGCTTGAGCGCCTGCTCCTGCTGCTGCTGTTGCAGATCCGGTTCTGCCTGCAGCTTTGGCTGCTGCGCTTGAGCTGGATTTAGCTGGGTGACCTGCTGAAGATTGGTTTCAAAATTCGATTTGCGTCCAAGTTCTTTTCACTTACCGCTGGCATATTGAGCAAGTTGTCGCCTCCACCACGCGCCTGACTCTGCGTCTCCAGCTCCGAGCTCGTCTCCTCGGACAGCTCGTTAAGCACCTTGCCCAGAGCAGACGAGGCGGTCACCTCGCAGGGCAAGATTGACTGCGATTCTGTGGTATTTGTATTAGTTATGGATATGGAGGAGAGACCCGTGGCCAGATCCTCCACAGCAGTCGACGGAGCCACATGTTGTTCCGGCTGCTGATCCAATTCGCTGTTCGCTTTGGGCGGCAGCTCCAGGGCACTGGGCTTATCGCTTTCGGGTGGTGTGCTCAGCTCCTCCTGCTCCTCCGAATTGCTCACATTACCGGGCGACGGGCCCGAGGAGAACGTGGAGCAGGATGAGGTGGTTAGCGATTCGCTGGATGACACATTTCCATCCTTTGACTTTGACTCGCTAAACTTGTTGATGTCCTCGTGCCTGGCCAACTCCTCTTCCTCATAGTCCTCTTCCACCTCCTGCTCTACCACCTCATCTTCCAGTTCGACGTGCTCGGGCTGTTGCTCCTCCCGTTGCTCTCCTGCTTCCGTTTCCCAATTGTAGCTCTCATGCGCCTGCATCCCGGTGGCCAGCGACTGAACGTTGTTCCGATAGTCGTTGAGGCTATTGAACACCTGCGAGACGCCCACAAAGTTTTTGGCTGCGCCAGCGCTGCCATCACCCAATGGGCGTGACTCACCGCCTACATTTACATTTAAAGCTGCAGTCGCAGCAGCTGCAGCGCTCGTTGCATTGCGGCTCAATTGTTCGTCAGCTGCAAAAGTTTACAGTTAAGCAAAAATTGCCGTTACACATTAGAGCTGATTTCGTACCTTTGAGCTCAGCTTCCAAATTGTCCAGGACCTGATCGATGTCCACCAGATCCATAGTAACTAGTCGGCTAGCATTTAAGCCTGCAACGAAAGACGTAATAGGCAGCTGAGAGCAGCTTGTATTTTGGCTGAAAAAATTTTCACAGCTCGAACGGTTGGAAAGAAGGGTCGGAGCGGGAATTTGCTGAGGGGGAACGAACGTAAGTTCCGTCAAACGAGAGACGCAAAACAAGACAACAAAGCAAATTATGATTCACAGCGCTATGGGATGTGAGCCCTGTTGCCTGTCAATCAATTGTCTTATCTGCGTTTATACTGTACATCCATTTTCGGCAGAAAATTAACGGAATTACCTTGTTTGCCCACTTCTTTTTGTTTAATTTTTCTTGCAAAATATGTTCGAAATGGGTGCGCAGTGTGACTGTGTTACGCTACTGCAGAAATACCGACGACTAATGCGAAATTGAATTGAAAAACATAGAGCATCTGCATTTCGTGGTATTATTAAGTGTATTTTAAAAATACCAAATTAGCGTGAGCATGGTCTGCCTAAACGTTTTGGGCCCTGTTAGTTAACATTGGCCGTTAACATTAGTCGAAAAAAAGCCGTCGAAGGTGTCGGACGCGGGAGTATTGCGCGTTCTCAGTTCAAGTGTAAAGAAATTTAACAATTTACTACAACGAATTTGTTGTAATTATATTAAATAATGCGGCACACAACGTGCAATTAAATAAATAAGGTGATATACTACGCGAACCGTTTAATATTGATGAAAAACGCAAAATAAATAAATTCGTGTAGTGAAGCAAAACGCAAACAAGCAGCAAAAAGTAAAAGAAGAAAAACATAAAGAAGCCGCCACCGCTACGAACTGTGTCTCTCTCTATCAGTGTGTGCGTGTGTGTATGTTTATGTGTACGCGACGAGCGTGGCTGAGTGTGTGTGTGTGTGCGTGAGTGAGTTGTCTGCGTGTGTAGGTAGTGGTGTGTGTGTGAATGTGGTGGGCGGAAAATCAAGTTAAAGCGCCCTCTATGCCAAACAAATTGCAGCTAAAATCGTTTTCAATTCAAATATTTAAATGCAAAAGCATTTGAAATGTTTGCAGTTAAACGCTAGCTACTATTGTAATTGAGTTCTGTGTTCTCTCACTTCTAGTACGCTGCCCACACAGATGCACGTACATGGCGTGAGAGTGTATTACACCAGCGCACATACACACACATACAATCATACAGTCAGGCAGCCATTCGCTGCTGATGTTCTTCTTCTTCTCTGCTGGCACCTTTTTGGTTGTGCTCTTGCCCGCTTCGCTGTCTCATTTTATCATTTTTGTTTTGTTGCGCCTCTCTGTGTGCTGCTGCTTCGTGCAGTAATCTTGTTGTTTATTCTCCCTTGCTCCGCCCACCCGCGGCCGCCTCACGAACTCTCGTGCTCTCGCGCTCTGGCGCTAGTTGCTTTGATTTAGCCGCGCGCGCACTAAAAATTGCTGTTAATTATTGAAAATTAAATGAATAAATGTGTTATTTATGATTGTCTCTCTCACTTACTATCTCTTGCTTTTTCTCTTTCCCGCACACACACACACACATACACGCAGACGGCTCGCAATTGAATTGTTTTTGTACGCGTTCTGTTTGAGTTTCAATTGATAAATCGCGATTGCTTCGTCGTCGTTCCATTGCCAAAATGTTTCAGTGCGCGAGTGTTGCTTCAAATGAAAGCATAAATCAAATGTATCTCTAACGGGTTTTGTTTTTATCTCATTTTATTGTTCAGCGTGTACCAGTTTTTAAATTGCATTTACAACATATATAACAACAAAAATAAGAGGAAGCAGAAGAATAAAAGAAAAAAAGAATTACACAAATTTCTAAAGAATTTGAACAAGCGCAATTCAATCTTAGCTCTTTTTACTGCCAATCGCCATTCTATAAACAAATCTGGAATCAATTTCTTGGCAATTGCTGCTGCTGCAACAAACACAACAACAACAACAACAGAATCACCCACGCAACCAAAATGAAATCAAAGCTGAAAACTGCGCAGTCGATGCTGACGTCGAAGTCGCCGTCGCCAATGCCCAGCAACGGTAAATGGATGCTGGTGTCAGCAATGCTGTTAGTTCTGCTGGCGGCCGCCACCCAAGCAGCTGATGAGGTAAGTGGCAATTGACACTAAGCGGAAATGGAACAGCAGAGAGTGTAGGATCGTCAGGCAATTAAGGGGAATCAGGTGGGAATAGATCACAATAGGCGAAAGACCTTGAACGGCTTAGCTGGAATGAAAGGAATGAGAAAATGTAAAAATGATTAAAGAAAGGCATCAACAATGATAATAAAGAAGGGGAAGAGAATGGAATATGGTAGAAATGTATAGAAAGAAAGTATGGGAGAAAGAAATAAAATGTAAAATGAAACATAATAAATAACTATAGAAAAGTCTCTAAATAATATTATATTATTAATGATCTATAGACATTACTAAGAAATGGAATATGGTAGAAGTGGAAAAAACTAAGAAACAAAACCGAATTAAATGAAATAAATATAGAAACAGTCATCAATTTTAGATAATAATATCAATATATGATCTTAGCGATCTAATGATCTTGATAAAAATAATGAGCCAAGTATAACAAAAATTGTATAGAATTAAAATTATTATATGGTAATCTTAAATACTGAACTAAATACACCAAAAACTATAAAAATGCATTGAGTTTAAAGATAAACCAATACATAGTCAATTATACATTAATAATAAAAAATTTGATTACCGGTTATCGAATTATCTTTTTTAGATTACTCCGCATTGTTTCATAAATGTATTTAACTATAAAACAGAATATAAACAAATTTCACATACGATTGCATTTGCAATTTCATTCAATAGTTAACAAATTACAATGTTTGCCATGCAATTAACAGAACTCCAATTATTATTTGCTGTAATTAGAAATAAGTAAATTTTAATTATTGAAGCTGAAATGCAATTTGCAAAACAATTGTCGTTTGCATCAAATTTATATTTATATGTATTAATCTCAAACTAATTCAATTATGTAAAACGTTTAATATTTTTGCTGTCCTAAATCAAACTCTGCAGCTCTCAGTTCGGTTCGGTTCCTGGAATTCGAATTACATTTCCAGGAATTCCATGCTTCGCAGGGTCTTTTAATATGCAAATATTGAATCGTTTTCATGTTGGCCTTAGCTTGATATCTTACAAATTGGCTGCACAGAGAGAGAGAGAGAGAGAGAGAGAGAGAGAGAGAGAGAAAGAGCTCTGCAAAGTTTCTGAATATGAATATATTAAAATTAAAAAAAAAATTTTTTTGCGTAATTTTCTAATTTTAATATATTTACTCAAACATATTACCTCAGTAATATCAGGGTATCATGTGCTGCGACTTCTCTGCATTCTACTTACATTGCTTGTTTTTTCCCCATTCGATTGTTATGAAATTTTCTAGCATAGAGACGATAGATTGAATTTCAATTTCTTGAGATTATGAACTGCTTTAACCTCAATCTGACCGCCTATTTCGCACCTGCATTTGTTGCCGTCTATGCCCTGAGCTACCAGCCCCACCTTCTTCTTCTCCTCCACACAGTGAGTCTTACTCCTTTGCACTTTGTTATTTTGCGGCTTGAGGTTTGCTCATTGCTTTTCTGGCTGCTGTCTTTCTCTCTCTCTCTCTCTCTCTTTCTTTCTCACTCACTCACTGTTAGAATCTGCCACTTAAAATGCAAAATAGAAGAGAATTCCGTCTGAGCTCTGACGCAAACTAATCAATATACAAATGTACACACTCACACTCACACACATACATAGTCATGCTTATTTATGCATTTACTTACATATATCTAGCTATTTATAAGTGCATGTGCGTGTCTGTGTGTGTGTGTGTGTGTGTGTATGTCTGAGCTTCTGTAACAATGAAAACTTTGGCTGTCTGGCAACGCTTGTAATTCGCATTTCAATCGTTGTTGTTGTTGTTGTTGCTGTTGTTTTTGTTTTCTATATTGATGAGACGATAATGAAGAGTGGAAGATGCTGCAAAAAGACATTAAAAGCGTCTGCACTGCTGCATCGCATAAATATGGCAACAAGAATGCATGTAGCTGTATCTGTGTGTGTGTGTGTGAGTGATGAATGTTACACTCGCATACGCATTGCCCATAAGCGCACTCGTCTTCTTCTCCTCTTCCTCTTCATCAACTCCATCTGCTTGTGGCCGTTGATCGTTTGCCAAAGTGTTGGCAAAAGGCATCCGGCTGTTGCCAATTGCAGTAGCCAGTTTTGTTTGTTTGTTTGTTTGTGTGACTTATTGGCCCAAAATGTGCACACAAATACACAAACATACACATACACATACACATATACATAAATAGTACATTGGCCCGTTTCTACTGAACCACTAAGCGCCCATCAGTAGTTACTGTTGTTGTTGTTATTGTTGCTATTGTCGTTGTCTTGTTTAACGTTCCGGTCCAGCCCGTTCTCATTGCGCTCTCCTTTTAGTCCGTTTGTCACTTGTTTTTGCCAAAATTGGCCAAGTTGTGGTTATGGTCGAGGCTCTTCAGCTGCGGCTGCTGCTGCTTTTCTTTGCAGTTTTTGTTGTTTCTCTCGCCAAAATCATTTTAAGAACGTGCACAGTAAACCTGATGAAGAGCCCAGGCACGCCAGCAGCCAGAGAGAGAAAGAGAGAGAGAGAGAGAGGGACAGAGTAACAGCAAGAGTTAGAGTGTGGCCACAGCTTTGGAGTGTGTGCAGGATAATGTAATGATTTGTGTGCGAATGCGAGCAGACGTAAAAAAAAAATACTGTCACACACACACACACACAAAGACTGATCAAAAGGTAGGCAATGGCTCGCCCACTCCCACTACACAAAGTTTTGTTTTTGGCTCGTTTACGCATTTGCGCTCATTAGCATTATTGGCATGTGTTCGTGACATTGAGTGAGTGTCGGTGAGTGTGAAAGACGCGGAGAGGGAGAGGGAGTGAGAGAGAGAGAGAGTTGGAGTGCGTTTAAAGGTGACCAGACGCGTCTAATGCGCACTCAGTTCATCTTTCACTTATATTTACGTGCTGTGCAACGAGCTGTTTATGTTTTTGTTTGTGTTTATGGATTTCCGGGAAGGCGTTTCTTTTTTTGGCACAACGATAAAACGGCTTTTATAATGGTAATATTGTAGGTAATATTTAGTTGGTAGTTATTTAGTTTGTAAATGATAACAAAGAGGTAGCAAAATCAACGTATGATGTCACATTTGATATGTCAGTTATCTTAGTTGTTTGCCTTAATAAATACAAAATTTTGTCGCCGAACTCATCGACTTAATTCATTCTTATACATATGTATATTACACACCTATACCAGTTGCAGCTATCTCGCTCCCACTCCCCTTTCCATTATTCACGCGTGCGTGTGAATGTGTGTGAGCGTGCGTGTGTTGCTATGCTCATTTGGCTCTGTGTTTCGTCTTGCATTTAATAAGTAGTTGCTCAGTGTTGCTGTTGTTGTTGTTTTTTTTTTTCAGTTGCTTGCACTCACCTTCGCGCTCATTGACGCCGAAAACGTAAGCGGCGTCGCCGTTGCAGTCGCCGTTGCAGCCGCAGTCGCCATTGTTGTCGCTGCTGTTAATGTCAATATGTTATCATCGGCGATTTTTTTAATGCATTTTGCAAATGTCAACGTTTCCCGATGTACGCATACGAACAAACTGTACATTTGCTGCTTGCATTTTGCCCTTTAATCTGGGTTCAATTAAAAATCCCCAACAGATAATCAATGCACAATGCAACGATGGAAATATTTTAAGCACATACACGAGCTAATTGCAAAAAGCTCAGTAATAACCTACACAAACACACATACATACTAAATAAAACACACACACTCACACACATAAGGGGGGAAAAAAAAGAAAACAAGATCACGTTGCAAATGTCAGTTAACGAGTCAAAGAGCAATTGCTTAAGAGAGCGAAAGAGCCCGAGAGAGTCAGAGAGCGCGTTTGTGGATCAATTACACATGTTGTCTGACATGTGCATAAAACAAAATCCAATTAGTAAATTTTTACATGTCAAGACAACATAAAAGCAAAGGCAATTGCAACAAAACCCAAAGGGTTGCCGCAAATAAACCAAAAGCAAAAACATTTGCGGCACCCGCAGCAGCAGGCAGCAGGCAGCGCAGGCAGGCAACAAACAGTCAAAATGTGAGGGCGCGATTACAACAGTGTAAAAGAGACAGCGCTGTAAGAGAGCGAGTGAGCCACAGTATAAAAATGTGTGTGCAGGCGGCGAAACAACAACAGCAAACGAGCATAAAATGTAAATATGTATGGATGTTTGTGTGTGTGTGTGTGTGTGCGAGTGTGAGTCAGTATTGGTAGGCAGCAGACAAAGTTGAAGAAAAGAAGACAGCGACAAACGACGTCGCGACGTGGTGGAGTTTCGTGTAGCTCCAAGAGCAGCGACGCCAGCGGCAGAAGCAGCGACGCTAGCAGCGAAGTTGAGGGCTGCTGCTGCTGCTGTTTCTGTTTGTTGTTGTGGTTGGCTCTCGCTTTGCTTTGCTTGAATTTCTGTTTCTGCTGAGGTAAACAACACACACAGCCTCGACAGAGGCAAAGGCAGAGGCAGGCCGTGCCGTGCCGGCAGTTTTCAAGACCCGAGCGTAGACAAACCAAACAGGCAGATTGAACCGCTGCCGCCGCCGACGGCGATGACGACGCCGACGCCGTTGCCATCCGTCGCTGCCTGCAAGAAGGGTACGCAATGTCAATAATCATGCGTTGTTGCCACTTTTCATTGTCGTTGTTGTTGTTGGTGGTGATGTTTTTGTAGTTGCTGTTTCATATGTTCGACTTGAGCTTGTTTCATTTTGCGGTTTGCTTGCGACAAGTTGTATCTCTGTTCGATGGCTCTTCCTCTCACGCTGTTTCTCTTTCTAGCTCTTGCAATATGTGTGCGTGAGTGCGTGTGTATAAATATTTGTATGTATGTGCATATATGTGTGTATATGCATGTGCCGTATGTTTTACTGCTTTATTGGGTTTTACAATTTTTATTTTCGTTGTCCCACTGCGGGATTTTAATAGCCGTTTCCTCTGCTCACGCCGCAGCAGTCAGGCATGTGTGCGTATATT